AATTGCTAATTTCTTTTTATCAAGATTTGTAGTTATTTCTTCCACAGCTTCCAAAATTGCCATCGTGGTAGACATCCTTTCTCTAAAACCATACTGACTTTCATTCAATATCCCACATGTATCAATACATTTTTCCAACCGTGTGCAAAAAACTTTTTCTAATATTTTAGAAAACTGGGGAAGCAGAGAGACTGGTCAATAGTTTGTGAAGATATTTTTGGATCCATCTTTATGTAAGGTAAGTAATCTTTATTTATATACCGCCTTTCACAGACCAGAGTCACAAAGCGGTTTACAATTGTTATTATTTTTTGGGCATTGGTCCACTCACTCCACACAGAGATGGGAGCGGGGTCGCCAGTACAGGAGGCGCAAGGGTATAACTTTAGCAATTTTCATTTGATTGGGGAACACTCCAGTTTGAAGAGACAAATTACATATTTAAGTTAAAGGTTTTACAATGGTATTTATTACTTTTTTCACTATTATCATGTCTAAGCCATGACAATCAATTGAGGATTTGTTTTTACACTTACTAACAATATTAAGGATATCAAACTCACTCACACTGGAGAGAAAAAAGGTCTTTGGATTCCTTTCTATAAATGATTCATACAGATTATAATTATTATGTTTTGGAATTTTCTCTGCCAATTCTGGACCAATGTTCACACAAAAAATCATTGAATTTATTTACTATATTCTGCATATCTGAGTTGTCTTCATTGTTGATAACAAAGGAATCTGGATAAGACATCTTCCTCTTTTTGGCTTTCGATAACCCATTTAATATGCCCCAAATCCCTTACATATCGCTTCTATTCTCATTTAATTTATCAGTATAGTACTTTTTCTTGTTTATTCTTATAATATTTGTCAATTTGTTCTTATACAATTTGTAGCAATTTTCAGCCTCTTTTGTCCGTAGTTTTATACATTTTCTATATAGATCATTTTTCTTTTTACATGATTTTAGTAACCCTTTTGTTAACCAGGGACATATCGCGAATTTCCTCTTTTTGTATTGTTGCAGAGGGCAATGCATATTGTACAGTAAACAAAACCTTTCTAAAAATATACCATAGGCTTTATCCACATGTCCTTCTGCATACACACAATCCCAGCTTTCATTCAATAGGTCAGTTTTATATGTATTCATTGCATCCTCTGATCTTAACCGTACATTAACATAAACCGGTTTCTGACTAATATCTTTCATTTTGAAATTATCATCATGAATTGCAAAGACTGGTAAATGGTCAGATACATCGCATATCATTAATCCACTGGTTTTAACATATTCGATCTTGTTTGAAAAAGATATTGTCTATGAGTGTGGCACTATTTTCTGTTACTCTACTGGGCCGCGTTATAGTTGGAAATATATTCATACTGTACATTCTATTCACAAATTCATCTGTAACTGTATGTTTATTCGGATTCATCAAATCTATATTAAAATCCCCACAAATGAACAGAGTTTTATTTATGTTAGAATACAGTTTCTCTATCCATTCAGTGAATATTTCAATACTTGAGCCTGGTGGCCTATACAGTGGCCCCCTTGAACCTTTCAACATTTCGCCACATTTCAAGCTTCAAACATAAAATTTAAATTTTTTGTCATCAATCAACATCAAGTGGGACACAATCGTGAAGTGGAACGAAAGTTATTGGATAATTTAAACTTTTAACAAATATAAAACTGAAGAGTGGGGCGTGCAATATTATTCGGCTCCTTTACTTTCAGTGCAGCAAACTCACTCCAGAAGTTCAGTGAGGATCTTTGAATGATCCAATGTTGTCCTAAATGACTGATGATGATAAATAGAATGCACCTGTGTGTAATCAAGTCTCCGTATAAATGCACCTGCTCTTTGATAGTCTCAGGGTTCTGTTTAAAGCGCAGAGAGAACCATGAAGACAAAGGAACACACCAGGCAGGTCCGAGATACTGTTGTGGAGAAGTTTAAAGCCGGATTTGGATACAAAAAGATTTCCCAAGCTTTAAACATCTCAAGGAGCACTGTGCAAGCAATTATATTGAAATGGAAAGAGTATCAGGCCACTGCAAATCTACCAAGACCCGGCCGTCCCTCCAAACTTTCATCTCAAACAAGGAGAAGACTGATCAGAGATGTAGTCAAGAGGCCCATGATCACTCTGGATGAACTGCAGATAACTACAGCTGAGGTGGGAGAGTCTGTCCATAGGACAACAATCAGTCGTGCACTGCACAAATCTGGCCTTTATGGAAGAGTGGCAAGAAGAAAGCCATTTCTCAAAGATATCCATGAAAAGTCTCGTTTAAAGTTTGCCACAAGCCACCTGGGAGACACACCAAACATGTGGAAGAAGGTGCTCTGGTCAGATGAAACCAAAATCGAACTTTTTGGCCACAATGCAAAACGATATGTTTGGCGTAAAAGCAACACAGCTCATCACCCTGAACACACCATCTCCACTGTCAAACATGGTGGTGGCAGCATCATGGTTTGGGCCTGCTTTTCTTCAGCAGGGACAGGGAAGATGGCTAAAATTGATGGAAAGATGGATGGAGCCAAATACAGGACCATTCTGGAAGAAAACCTGTTGGAGTCTGCAAAAGACCTGAGACTGGGACGGAGATTTATCTTCCAACAGGACAATGATCCAAAACATAAAGCCAAATCTACAATGGAATGGTTCACAAATAGACGTATCCAGGTGTTAGAATGGCCAAGTTAAAGTCCAGACCTGAATCCAATCGAGAATCTGTGGAAAGAGCTGAAGACTGCTGTTCACAAACGCTCTCCATCCAACCTCACTGAGCTCAAGCTGTTTTGCAAGGAAGAATGGACAAGAATTCCAGTCTCTCGATGTGCAAAACTGATAGAGACATACCCCAAGCGACTTGCAGCTGTAATTGCAGCAAAAGGTGGCGCTACAAAGTATTAGCGCAAGGGGGCCGAATAATATTGCACGCCCCGCTTTTCAGTTTTTTATTTGTTAAAAAAGTTAAAATTATGCAATAAATTTTGTTCCACTTCACGATTGTGTCCCACTTGTTGTTGATTCTTGACAAAAAATTAAATTTTTATATCTTTATGTTTGAAGCCTGAAATGTGGCGAAATGTTGAAAGGTTCAAGGGGGCCGAATACTTTCGCAAGGCACTGCATATGCAACTGATGATTATATTTTTTTTCTTTTCACAAGAAATTTCTATTGTGACACAATCTAGTACATCACTTATTGTTAGTGACATACATTCCACTTTCTTGTTCTTGATTGATGTATGAACATATATATAGCCACACCATCTCAAAATCCATCCCTTTATTTTCCTTAAACCATGTTTCTGATATTGCTACAATACTACAAAACTTCCATCCCAAAGTTTGGTTCAAACTGAAGATATTTCTAATTTACAGTATGCCTATATCTCAAACCATTTTTAAGTTATAGCCTTTTGAAATCTTGAAATCATAATTGTATCTTTTCTTGAAAAAACTCTGGCGCCTAAAGGGTTAATTCTGATTTCTTCAATTTTTGGTTTAATGAGGAAAAAGGTCCCATTTTTGGTCCGGTACATATCAGACCTGGTACTAAAATTGTATGTTTTACTCTATCCATGACCTTTACAGATGGAACGGATCCCAATGTCATTTTGTTTAAATGTGTCCAGTCCGTGTACTTCTTTTTATGGTAATTCAAGTTTAAACACTTCTCAGGCCGCTTCAGGTAGTAGATGTTCTCCATATTTCACAGTTCCTGACAAACAGGAACTCTTCCTCTGAAGGGCGTTTTGTGGCTGTGTGGCTACAATGTCTATGTGAAGCTACCAATTGGATAGGTTGTTGTGCTCTGATAACAGCTGCAGATCACTCTTACATCATCTCTACCACTCCTAGATCGCGAGGTAAGCGCAATTTTGCTGCTCATGATGCAGTTTGGAGAACGGATGTTCCAGATGATCACAAACTGTGGACCAAGCCAACAAAAGTAATTCTCTCTTTGTTCCCTCAGCTTGGTGTAAGGAAGGTTATGCTTAGAATGGAAACTTTAAATTATCGGTTTTCAAGTTTTGTTAATTCAACTGTAAATATTCTAGAGGCCAACAGAGTTGAAGTGAATGCATTGCGTGCCGTTACTTTACAAGATAGGATTGTTTTGGATCATTTGGTTGCTTCAAGTGGAGGTGTTTGTGTTTTACTTAATCTGACCGCTTGTTGTACTTATATTCCTGATAACAGTGCCGATGATGGGATCATTGCACAGGGTATTCAAAATCTGACTACTTTGCGCGATGCAGTTAACCGTGATTTCGTTCTAGATGCTTCATGGTTTTCAGACTGGCGAGCGTGGTTGATTCAAATAGGTACTGGACTTGGAGTTATATTAGTGTTGCTGATAGTGATGTCATCTTGTGTCATTCCTTTGATTCGTTCGTTGATCCGACGTATGGTCTCGTCGACACTCGTTCAACACACTTCGCTTAACCTGCATGTTGACTGTCCTGATGAGGACAGTGATCCATTTAGTGAGATGTCATTTGATGGTTTTGAATGAATTGATTTGTATGTTTAACCCATTTATGATGGATTTTCTTAACCCTTTAGTTGCCGGAGTTTTTTCAAGAAAATATACTATATGTTCCGCTTCCGGTGTGACATGTGAGAGGAGAGTGGCGCGTCGTGCTCTGATTAAAGTGGCTAAAAGTAAGGTTCCATGAATGAAAAAGGACAGTAAAAGGACTGTGATTCAAGCTTCACTCTTATGTTAACACAACAGAGAGAGAAAACTGGAAAAATGGTGAAGAATAACGGCGTAAAGGACAATAAAGACTCGCAAACAGGCTCTGACCCAGCGGGCGCGTGCACGGCAGAGGCGCGTTCACGTGAGAATGAAATATTGGATGAAATAAGAGCCTTAAGACAAGAGCACACAAAGGCCGTTAATGATCACGGCAAAATTCTTAAACAGATGGAAACAGACATTAAAAGTGTGTCTGAGCAAATGACTAAGCTGGAGACGAGGACCACGGCTGCAGAGGTGAGGCTGGGGGAGACCGAGGACAGGACCTTGTGTCTGGAGAAGGCTGTGACCCTTCTGCTGGAGCAGGGAGCAACACTCGCAGAGTGGGGCCCGTCCATCCCCACGCACACACTGAAGCAGAGCGGGGCCCGTCCATCCCCACGCACACACTGAAGGAGAGTGGGGCCCGTCCATCCCCACGCACACACTGAAGGAGAGTGGGGCCCGTCCATCCCCACGCACACACTGAAGGAGAGTGGGGCCCGTCCATCCCCACGCACACACTGAAGGAGAGCGGGGCCCGTCCATCCCCACGCACACACTGAAGGAGAGCGGGGCCCGTCCCCGAGCCATCATTGTTCGTTTCCTGCACTTTCAAGTCAAAGAACTGGTCATGACACACACGTGGAGACTCAAGCCCGCGTACGAGGGACACCCGGTGTACTTCAATGAGGATTATACTGCAGAGACTATGAAGAAGCGGAGACAAGTACGTGATGTGATCAAGCAGCTGAAGGACAGGAACACACGAGCGCAGTCCCCGTACCCCGCCCGTCTGAAAATATTCATGGATGGGGGGGCGAAGTCTTTCCCAAGTCTGGCCGCTGCAGCCCCGGTGCTGCGTGACCTGGGGATACACGTGAAGGAGGAGGATATGGAGACACTGAAGGGTGAGCTGATGAAGGGGATGTGGAATCTAGTGACTGATAGAGGAGAGACTGCATAAAGACTGCAGAGGACAAATGAGTGCACTTCACACCTGAAGCCACAGGTACTAACATTTTGAACACGTTCTAGAACTTTCTCATTATAATACTCTGGACTGGAGACTACTTTTGTTGAATAATTAAGCCCAATTGAATAAATAAAGGACATATAAATAAATATTGGCAAGAGGGGTTTATTAATTGTCACTATAGAATTTAAAGAAGGAGCAAATAGCGCGTTAAGTTAGTTAGTTAATTCGTTATTTCTCTTAAGTTATTTTGTTGTGTTTTTCTGAAAAACAGTTTGTGTATGAGTGAGAGTGACTGTGTGCATGTGTGTGTGCTGGAGTGGGTGTGTGGTTTTGTGCTCTTGTGTCTGAATCTGTCCTGTGTGAGTGAATGTTTGTATGCTTGTCAGTGTGGTTCAGTGTCAGATCAGAGTGATGGATGTGTGAATATGTCCCATGTGAATGTGACTGTATGTGGTGTAAGATTGGACCTGGTTACTGTGAATGCAAATACAGAGTTGACCTCCATGGCAGTTAAAATGGTTAATTTGTATCCTAACATCCAATATAATCCAGGATGATGGCTTCTTCTGCTAAACTCCCTAAAAAAGGTCTAAAATTAGGACATTTAAACATTTGCAGCCTAAGGAATAAAACTATTGAAATATCAAATATTATATTAGAATATAATTTACATATCCTGGCTGTAACAGAGACTCATTTAGATTCCACAATAGAAGATGCGGTTATTAATATACAAGGGTACAATGTATTTAGAAAAGATAGAAATTCTAATGGTGGTGGAGTCGCTGTCTACATTCAGGAGCACATACCTGCCAAGATAAGAATGAACCTGATGATGCCTAATATTGAAATACTGTGGCTTCAAGTGCACCTTCCATATTTAAAACCAGTACTAGTGGGGTGTTGTTACCGCCCTCCTAATGCTAATGCTGAGTACTTAGAGGACATGTGCACTATGATAGACAATGTGTGTGATAATCAAAACAATATTTTTCTCATGGGAGATTTTAATATTGAATGGAATAATGCACAGTGCCCATTGAGAAGTAAACTTTATTCAATTACTGAGACATGTGGCTTAACCCAACTTGTAACCACACCAACTCGAATATGCTGTCGGCGAGATGGCACAAAAACATCTACACTAATTGATTATATTCTTAATAATGTTGCCGATCGCTGTAGTAAAGCTGTATCAGTTCCTGTTGGCTGCAGTGACCACAACTTTGTAGCAGTGGTAAGAAAGACAAAAGTCCTTAAAGAGGGCCCTAAGGTAATATTAAAAAGGTCATACAAAATTTTTAATACTGAGCACTTTTATGAAGATGTCTGTAATATTTGCTGGGATGAGATTTTAAGGATTGATAATCCAAATTTTGCAGTAGAAAGATTTAATGAATTATTTTTGGAAGTGAGCAATAAACACGCTCCTATAAGAAAGCGAACAGTGAGGAAAACCAGAGTGGGTTGGATCGATGAGGAATTGAAGGACTTCATGAGACAAAGAGATGAGGAAAAAAATATGGCAAACAATACTAATCTAGAATCTGATTGGCAAGTGTACCGCAAATTGAGAAATTATGTGAGAAAGTTAAACAAAAAGAAAAAGAAGTTGCACTATGAAAATATGATAAAAAATGATAAACATGATAGTAAGAAATTATGGAGCGTTCTAAATAATATGCTTGGAAGAAATGCCAAATCCACACCATCGTTTCTGGAATCAGACGGGCAGTTTATGACAAAGCCCTTGGATATAGCAAATCATGTAAGTGATTATTTTTATACAAAAATTAACAAGCTCCGGGATGAAATGGATCAAACCAGCACTATAGACATTGAATCATTAATTAATAAAATTATGTTAGGGAAGACATGTAAATTTGAATTTAAAGAAGTGACTGTGCGTCAGGTTGAGAAACTGCTTGTAGAATGTAAAGAAAAACCATCTGGTGTAGACAATATTGACTCAAAGTTATTGAAACAAGTGGCTAACATTATTTCTGTTCCAATCACACATATTTTGAATTTGAGTTTGCAAACTAGTATTTATCCACAAGAATGGAAAACTGCTAAAATTGTACCACTGCCAAAAAGTGCAACAGTACCCTTCAGTGGGTCTAATAGTAGACCAATCAGCCTCTTGCCAATATTGAGTAAAATTATGGAAAAGATAGCTTTTGAACAAATTTATACATATTTCTTAGAGAATAATTTAAGCTCTGACTTTCAGCATGCATATAGAGTTGGGCACTCAACCACTACGGCTATGGCTCAAATGACAAATGATTGGCTTACAGCCTTAGACAATAAACAGTTAGCAGGAGCTGTGCTGTTAGATTTCAGTTCAGCTTTTGACCTAATAGATCATAGTCTTTTGGTGAGGAAAATGCAGTGTTATGGTTTCAGTAGATCAGCGTCACTATGGATTCAAAGTTATTTAGATAACAGAAAGCAAACTGTCCTTTTTAATGGCAGTTTTTCTAATGAAAAGGATGTCAGCTGTGGTGTACCGCAGGGCAGTTGTTTAGGCCCACTCCTCTTTTCCATATATACAAACGACCTTCCTTTAGTTTTACAGAAAGCAAAAATAGCCATGTATGCTGATGACTCAACTATTTATTCATCACAAACTACAGTTGGAGAGCTGCAGACCGTCCTAACTGAAGAATTAAAATCTGTATATGACTGAGTCAGAAGCAATAAATTGCTCTTAAACGTTGGTAAAACAAAAAGTATTGTGTTTGGAACCAGATATATGTTGTCACATGATCACTGTGAAAGACCTAAATGTTGAGCAGGTGCATGAGACCAAGCTTCTCGGAGTACAGCTCGATAACAGACTGTCCTGGTCCAACCACATCAGTGCTGTAGTTAAGAGAATGGGCAGGAGTTTCGCCATGGTCAGACGATGTTCTAGTTTGTTAATTCCAAATATGACTGTAGATGTAATAAAAACACTCGTACTCTCACAGTTAGATTACTGTTCAGAGATCTGGTCGTGTGCTGCAGAGTCACATATAAAGGCTTTACAGGTCAAAGCTGCGCGATGTGCTCTTCGATGTAGATATTGAACCAACACCAACTGGATGCAGTCTGTGTTATCCTGGTTAAAAGTCAAAGAAAGACTGAAAGTCACATTAATTAATTTAACAAGAAATATAATTTTAACCAAAATGCCCAATGTTCTCCATAAAGAGTTGAGTTTCAGTGCAGAAGGCCATCATTATCAAACCAGACATGCAAGTGAGGGTAAGCTCAATCTGCCCAAAGTAAAAACAAATTATGGACAGAATACCATCACATACAGATCCATGTGTGTTTGGAACAGTCTGCCCTCCGATATCATGAACCAAAATAATAAATATCAATTCAAATTGAAATTGAAAAGACTTTTCCTAAACATTGGCGCAGTGGATGCTTGAATGTTGTAATACCTAAGTGTGTATTTCATGTTTTCCTTGTCATGGAAATATTACATTTGAGTGTTGCATTTAAATCTTGCTTTCCACTGTTACTGAGATTGCATTCATACTAACCAGGTCCTCCGTGTGTGCGTGTGTGTGTGTGTGTGTGTGTGAAAGTGAGTGGATGTTTATGTAAGTTAAATTTTTGTTAGTATTATTTGTTTTGTTGTATTCTGTGTTCTGTTTTTGTGTTTTTAATGTAATAATTTCTGTTTTTCACATGTGACGCCAAGGAGCGAAATGTTTTTTTTTTTTTCAAAATGTATGTGAGACAACGACTCCAGGAAGAATAGCTGTTTTTATACAGCTAATGGAGATCGTAATAAATACAAATACAAATACACACCTGGTAAAACAGACCTGTAAAAACCTATGGCCTGACTTCAAAACCAACTCCACCTGAAGTATTCCTGAAATTCAACGTCTACAGAATGATTGATATCTCGGCCTCTGTAGCAGATACAAACATAATTTCAAAAGAATGTGAGAGCTGACACTTGTGAAGAAAAAAAAAATACAAATGTGAGACTAACACATGTTTCTCAATACAATAAGTCACAAATAGTTTGGCTTACGGCAGGATGTTTTAGGGGACAAAATTGTCTCCCGAAACCATACAGCGACACTGGACGGCTCACCACAGATCAAATTAATTTCAACAAGGTCCAGCAGATTCAGAGTTGTTGTTGAGAATGCCTTTGGTAGACTTAAGGGTAGGTGGCGCTGTCTACTCAAAATAAATGACTGTGATGTTGAGTTGGTAAAATCTATGGTGGAGACCTCTGAGACCCACGGAGAGCAGTACCAGGTAGAGTGGGATGCACCAGGCCCTGCAGAGGCAACTCAACCAGCTGGGGTAATGGCACAGGACACAGAGGAGGGAGGCAAGGAAGTCCGAGATGGCCTAATGCAACATTTGTTACATAACTGATCAAATATAGTCATTTAAGTTGAACAATGTGTAGTGTAATGTTCATTTGTACATTGTATATTGCTGGATATTGTTATTATTGTTATTGATATTTGTATATTTTTTTTGCACATGAGTTCATATTTGGTTTCTGTCTTTCAAACAGTTGCTTGTATCACTAGTTCAATGTATCTTTTGCCTCTGTCACATCTTTCAATCAGCTTTGTCTGACAGAAGTAAACATTCTTACTAAATACTTGTCACCTCTGATTACTTGTCTTCTGAATTGCATAATTTTGTTTCTGTCTTATCAATATAACGTTTGTCAGAATGTGTTCTTTGAAGAATCTTATATGTGACCTCCAGCCTCCGCTAAAGTCTCTGCGACCTCCAGCCTCCGCTAAAGTCTCTGCGACCTCCAGCCTCCGCTAAAGTCTCTGCGACCTCCAGCCTCCGCTAAAGTCTCTGCGACCTCCAGCCTCCGCTAGTCTCTGCGACCTCCAGCCTCCGCTAAAGTCTCTGCGACCTCCAGCCTCCGCTAGTCTCTGCGACCTCCAGCCTCTGCTAGTCTCTGCGACCTCCAGCCTCCGCTAAAGTCTCTGCGACCTCCAGCCTCCGCTAGTCTCTGCGACCTCCAGCCTCCGCTAGTCTCTGCGACCTCCAGCCTCCGCTAAAGTCTCTGCGACCTCCAGCCTCCGCTAAAGTCTCTGCGACTCCAGCTTCCGCTAGTCTCTGCGACCTCCAGCCTCCGCTAAAGTCTCTGCGACCTCCAGCCTCCGCTAAAGTCTCTGCGACCTCCAGCCTCCGCTAGTCTCTGCGACCTCCAGCCTCCGCTAAAGTCTCTGCGACCTCCAGCCTCCGCTAAAGTCTCTGCAACCCCCAGCCTCCGCTAAAGTCTCTGCGACCTCCAGCCAGGGCCGGAGTGGGACAATTTTTTGGCCCGGGAATTCTGGGTCAGACCGGCCCTTCTGATAAAGTAGTCTATCAAAAAAAAACTGAACTGCTTGCTGTTGTAATATCCATAACAACCAGCAGGTGGCCTAAAATCAAGTTTTGTAAATTACAAGACTAATGGTATTAAAATTATTCTTCGTTCACTCCTTTAGACTTCTCAGTGTTAGTCACAAAATAACTCAATAATGCATTTGAATAAATCATGATATTTGAATATTCTGGTATCACAATATGAATTGTAGCAAATTTTAGACTGACCCTAGACTTATGTGGATATAAAAAGCATGAATTTCACAAATTTTAGAACAATGTCAATTTTCATTCAAATAATTGTCATTCGCAAAGATTTGGCTATATTTTTTTTTATAATACATTGAATTGACTCGAAACAGCACTTCCTGGTTCTACAAAAGGGTGGTTGGTAAAATGACAAAGCCCCACAAAATGGCACAGAGCCACTGATTAATGACAGCAAACCACAGTATAGATAGATTTAATTAGATAAAAACATAGTTTAAGAATATGGCTCATTAAAAGCAAAGATGCAAAACATATTGGTAAATAGATAGAATATTTAACCAATTATAACTATAGTGAATAGTTTTTTAGTGCATACAATTACAGACGAGGTTGAAGAAGGATCAGAATGACAGCAGTGGTCCATCAAAGAGTTTTAGTGAAGGAAATGTTTTTTCAATGTGGTTGTGTGTTGTTCGTCTTCCTGTTTTAACTCTTCACAGATATCGAGCCCAGAACTAGGAGGTATGGAACTCCTCCAGTCCCGTCACCCAGAAATATTGAAAGTGTGAACTAGTTGGTTAATATAGGTCAAAAGAGGGACTTAACGAATATTCCACAAAAGATGCACATCAGACAAAGAATATGCACTCAGGAATCAAAGAGATGACCAGCTTACAAAACCAGACAATTATTTGACTTCCCAGAATAAACCAAATGCTCTCTCCCACGCTCGACCGAGGGCAAAGTCCAACACAATCAGGCGCCCAGTGGTGGGCATTGTTTGCTCAGTGGTGGAGATGGAAGAACCGGGTCCAGAACCAGACCAGGCCAGACCAGTCCCAGATCCTGTGACGTCACGGACCTTTGATAGAAACTGCTGGGAGGAGATTGGCAGTCAGTCAGCCGAGGCCATGGAGAGGACAATATTATTTAGGAGCACTTTTTTTTGTTTGAATATTCCTGTAATCGTTTGTAAAAGATAATTAAATGCAGATGTTAAACGTGAAGATCTCTTGTCTCGCTCTTGCAGCGACTTTGGATACGGTCATCAATGGGTATTTATTGACTTCAGTACGATGGTTAAGGTTAGGGTTAAGGTGGTCTGAGTTAGATGGTAAGGTAGTTGTTAAGTGGTCTGAGTACGTTGGTTAAGGTTAGGTTTTAAGGCGGTCTGAGTTAGATGGTTTAGGTTCAGGTTTAAGGTGGGTCTGAGGAGATGGTTAAAGGTTAGGGTAAAGGTGGTTCAGAGTAAGATGGTTAGGGTTAGGGTTTAAGTGGGTCTGAGGAAGATGGTTAAGGTTAGGGTAAAGTGGTCTGAGTAAGATGGTTAAGGTTTGGGTTACGGTTTAGGTTAAGGCGGGTCTGAGTAAGTTGTTTAAGGTTAGGGTTTAAAGGCGGTCTGAGTAAGATGGTGATGGTTAGGTTAAGGCGGTCTGGAGTAAGTTGGTTAGGGTTAAGGTAAGGCGGTCTGAGTAAGATGGTTAAGGTTGAGTTAAGTAAGGCGTCTGAGTAAGATGGTTTGAGTTAGGTTTAAGGCGGTCTGAGTAAGATGGTTATGGTTAGGGTTAAGGCGGTCTGAGTAAGATGGTTGGTTAAGGTTAAGGCGGTCTGAGTAAGATGGTTAAGGTTTGAGTTAGAAGGTTAAGGCGGTCTGAGTAAGAAGTTGAGGATAGGGTTAAGGCGGTCTGAGTAAGATGGTTATGGTTAGGTTGAAGCGGGTCGAGTAAGAGGTTGTAGGGATAAGGTTTAAGGCGGCTGAGTAATGATGGTTAAGGTTTGAGTTAAGGTTAAGGGGGCTGAAGTAAGTTGGTTTAAGGTAGTCTGATTATGAAGGTTAGGGTTCAGTGTATTACTGTTGATTGACTGACTTGTGTTGGGATATCCAATGGTTTTGTTAAGTCTCTGAGATGACTTCTGTTGTGTACCTAGGGCTATAACAAGAATAAATGGTATTGTATTGTAAGTAAGATGGTTAAGGTTAGGTTTAAGCGGGTCTGATAAGATAGTTAGGTTAGGTTTTGAAGGCGTCTGAGTTAGATGGTTAGGGTTAGGGTTAAGGGTAGGTCCTGAAGTAAGATGTTAAGGTTAGGTTAAGGTGGATCTGAGTAAGAGGGTTAAGTTAGGGTTATGTGGTCCGTAGTAAGATGGTTAAGGTTAGGTTAAGTGGTCTGAGTGAGATGGTTTAAGGGTAGGGTTCAAGCTGCACTAACTGACTTTTATTTTTGTATCATGACGGAAAAGCTATCCATGTCCATGCAGTGCATTGGGATATTCGCACCTATGAAGAAAAAGTACGCAGATTTGGGCTGGCGTGACATTATATTTTTGTCGAGTTTTGATGAAACGAAAGGAAAAATGTGTTTCGGTCGCTAATTGTGACCACTCAGCGACCACTGGCCCCACACTTTCCGTGAGAAATCTACAGGTCCGTTAGCACGGAAGGCTGAGTTAGCACACGATAAACAAACAAGGGGCGGAGCTAACCTATGCCTTCCCTCGTCTTCGCACCGGTTACTGCATACACAGCGAGACATGCCATCCAATAGAAAGTCTCGTTCCCCGCGCTTCCCGGTTTCTATCGTTTCTATGGTCACGCCATCACGGGCAAATCAGTCCATAGTAATTTATCCATATTGGGAGACGCTAGCTCCGACCCAACAGTGGGTGTGTTGTGGGGGCGTTAGCTTCGTGGTGCGGGAGGAGCTGAAAGAGAGAGCCAGCGAGTCCTGCGCTTCAAAATCCCAAAGTCAGTTAGTGCAGCTTTAACCCTAACCTTAACCATCTCACGTCAGACCACCATAACCCTAACCTTAACCATCTTACTCAGTAACACACCTTAACCCAAACCTTATCCATCTTACCAAACCAACCTTAACCCTAGACCTTGAACTCTTATCTCAGACACCCCCCCTTAACCCTAACCCTAACTCATCTACCTCTGACTCGGCCTTAAAACCTAACCCTCACTATCTTTACTCAACCCGCCTTTAAACCTAACCTTAACCATCTTACTACAATACAATAACAATTTATTCTTGTATAGCCCTAGTCACTACAGAAGTCATCTCAGAGAACATACAAAACCATTGAAATCACCATACCAAGTCAGTCATCAACAGCTTAAAAAAAAACACATGAACCCTAACCTTCTTACTCAGACTACCTAACCATCTTACTCCAGAGAACCACCTATCCATTAACTCCAACTTAACCATCTTACTCAGAACCGCCTTAACCTTATCCCTAACCATTTACTCAGACCGCCTAAAGCCTAACCATCAACCATCTTACGCAGACCGCCTTAACCCTAACCTCACCCGTCTTCTCAGAACGACTTAACCTTATCAAACTCAAACCTTATCCATCTTACTCATCCGCCTGAACCTTGAACCCTAACCAACCACTTACTCAGACGCCTTAACCCCTAACCTTAACCATTCTACTCAGATACCAGCCCTAAACCTAACCTCAACCATCTTACTCCCAGGACCGCCTTAACCTTAACTCAAACCTTAACCAGCATACTCAACGCATTAACCTTTTAACCCTAACCACTTACTCAGACCGCCTTATACCTAACCATAACCATCTTACGCAGACCAGGCCTTAACCCTAACCTAACCATCTACTCAACCGCCTTAACCTTAACCTTAACCCTAACCTTAACCAATCTACTCTACCCACACCTTTAACCCTAACCTAACATCTTCCTCAACTCCCACCTTAACCCTAACCCTAACCATCGTACTCCGAACCACCTTTACCCTAACCTATCCATCTTCCTCAGACCCACCTTAAAACCTAACCTGTAAACATCTAACTCCAGACCGCATTAAACCTAACCTTAACCATCGTACTCAGACCACCTAACCCTATACCTTAACCATCTAAAAACCAGACCACCTTAACCTAACCTTAACCATCGTACTGAAGTCAATAATTCCCTTTGACTGACGTATCATACTCGATGCAGACGAGACAAGAGATCTTCACGTTTAACATACTGCCTTTAATTATCTTTACAATCAGATACAGAATATTCAACAAAAAAAGTGCTCCTAAACTAATATGTCCCCTCTCCTGGCCCTCGGACTGACTGACTGCCAATCTCCTCCCAGCAATTTCCTATCAAAGGGTCCGATGACAGTGCACAGATCTGGGACTGGTCTTGCCCCTGGTCCTGAGTCTGGCCAGGTCTTTCCATCTCCACCTGAGCAAACATTGCCCCCGCACCACTGGCGCCTGATTGGGGGGGTGTTGGACTTTTTGGCCTACCTCGTCGAGATGGGAGAGACATATTGTTTATTCTTGGAGTCAATAATTGTCTGGTTTTGAAGCAGCGTGGTCGATCTCTTATGATTCCTGAGTGCCATAAGTCATTTGTCCTGATGTGCAAAGCA